TTTTTTTTTTTTTTTTTTTTTGGTACTGGGGATTGAACTGGGGTCCTTGTGCTTGCATAGCAGGCAGCAAAACCACTGAGCTAAATCCCTGGCTAGCATTTCAGTTTAACTCATGTATACTTCAAAGATGTGATTGAATAAAGACACAGTAAGTAGAGGTTAAATTTTATCCTTCATTTATCACCTTAAATAGAATATTTTATAAAGACTAGCTCTACTTCGACATTGACTTCTCTGAACTTCACAGATTCGACATTTGATCCTTTTTTATAAGTTATAAATTATGCAACAATGAATCTCTCTTATGTGAAATGGTTCTCCTCATAGTAGTCATTTCTTTGTGTTAGAATTTCTTTTCAACCTATCCCCATTCTAGATAGCACTTTCCTGAGAGTAAGGACTTGTTATGTGTTTTCAAATTCACTTTCCTCATCTCTCAGACACAATACCTGACAACCCACAACCAAAAGGAGAGGTTTATTTTGGTTTACATTTTCAGCCAGAGTGTGCACGCTTCAAGCCAGAAATGGCATGGTGGACGAGCCTAGCACAGAGGAAAAGTGCTCACACCATGGCAGTCAGGAAGCAGAGAGAGGAGAGAGGAGGCACGGAGGGAGTTATATACTTCCACCATTCCCCCAGTGATCTACCTCTTCCTACCACACCCACTTTCTAATAGCACATTTAGCTATGATGCAGTCACTTTCCAAACACATGAGGCTTTTGATGAATACTTGAGAGCTAAGCCATAACTTTAGTCTCTCGTTTTTTTCAGCATAGAACATGATGTCTGGCACACTGAATAAGCTGTGTAAGTATTTCTTGAATGTCTGTTATTTCATCAATAAAGAAATAGACTAAGCTTTATAGTACTTCATATGTATTATAGTGCAAGGAATATAGTTTTTAAATGTTGAAGAAAATTTTGGAAAAGGTGAAAGGTTTATACAATCTGAGGAAAAATCAGAGTACAAAAAATTTAGAAATCCCTTAAGTCCTTAAATTCTTTTACAGTTAAAACAATTGAAGACTTAGAGATCTGGAGTAAGGTCCCTGATAGGTACTAATTGGTAGACCTGAGACTTGAACTCCATTCTCCTGACCCCCTAGTGTTTTCTATAATGCATAGCTTTGATGTCTACTGCTGGGTGTCTTTTGACAGGTTGTATCAGGGAGACTATGGTAATGACTAGGTCCATTTTGAGGGTGAGTATTCTTTTCAAGGGCCCATCAAGCAAAGGAATAGCTATGAATTGATATATTCATTTCTTCAGGAAAGGGAGTACTATCAAAAGGAGACAAATTCACACTCATTACTTTTGTGTTTATTCTGTTACTTCAGCTTTTGAATTTGTCCTCAAAAGCATAAGAAAGGGTTATTATTTAGAAAATTTAATCCAACCTGATGCTGGAAAATGACAGTCTTGTTACTACTGAAGAAGAAAATATCCATTTACTATGAGATTAAAATAGTGGCTATTTGCATTTCTCCAAAATAGACTTTAAAAATACTATGATGGAATAACACCCAGGCAAGAGACAGAGTGGGTTGGGGGAAAGGGAGAGGGAGAAGGAGGTGCCTTTCCAATCACAGCCACTTAGCAATGGTAAACTAAGGACTAGAAAACTCTGACAGAAGAATTACCTTATACCTATCCCCACTCTGACTGAGGTGTTTAGCATCTCTTATTGAATGGAGTTTCCACTGTGATCCTTTGAGCTTTTCGAGTACAGTGTCTGCTGACTACAGGATCAGTTAGTTTGTTTCATTAGGCATAATAATTTCCCAGTAGATGGGAACTGCACCTAATACTTATTGTCTGATGAGCAACAAGAACAGTAGCTCTGAAATGCATGATTATTTTGGAGGTACGAAGGAAGATATGAAGATCCATAATGTTTTGGCTGATATTTTTATCCCCCTCCCCAAAGTACAGCTACTAGACATTATGGCAACATGTAATCAACAAGGTCAACCTGAGAAACAGTAGTGGAATGGAGGGTCAGAAAGATGGCTTTGCTCCTAAGATGCAGATCCTTGATCCTTCGACCATCTCTAGGTACCAAAATTATTTCATTCGCACCAATATATATGGATAAGCATACATTGTTTATATTTATTTTGCATCCTTCCACTAAACAGCACACAGCTCAGTCCATAGCAGGTGTTCAGTAAATACTTGTTAAATTAATAAACAAATCCTCTCTTATTGTGCCATTAAAGTGCTGTCATTGTCATTAATCATACTTTAGTGGTGAGATGTGGAATCTATTAATGCCATTTCATAACTGTGGAAATTGAGCTTCAGAGAGACTCAGTGACTGAGAAAGACATGAAAAATGGTTAACAAAAGAAGCATAAAAATGAAAATACTTAAATATTTTAATATATTGGTAAGAAAAATTCACCTAAATAGAACATGCCATTTTTACTTGTTATATTACCAAAAAGTAGAAAGCAATATTGGATGTTGGCACAAGAATGAGAAAACAGGAACTCTTGTATGTTTAGTGTGAGTATAATTTAAATATAACCTTTCTGGAGGTCAACTTGTCAGTATGTATCAGAATACTTGAGAATGTGTAAAACCATTTGATTTAGCAATTCTGCTTTAAGACAGTTGTTTTAAAAAAACTAGATATTTATAGTGACACTTATTAAAGTATTATTTATACCAAAGAAAAATAATAGTAAACTAGAAATTTGCCAGTGAAAGAGTGATTAATCTATGTACATAGATTTCTTGTTCTGAGGCTTCCTTGGCGGTCAAGGTCATATATATTCAATCACCAAAGCAGCAGGAGGGCAGGCTGTCTTGAAGATTTCAATATATTTTAAGTTTCAATTTAGGGTACAAGAAGCAACATATAAAACTTTATGTGGTGTTCTTGAGCTAGTAGCCCATTCTTTTTTGTTTGTTTTCTAGTCCACATTTTCATAATCTTTTCCCTTACCTTTAGGTTTTATTTTTTTCCCCTTGATCTTTTCACCAGATTTCTTCATCTTACTTATTATTTATTTCCCTGTCATTACAAACTTCATCTCATGATCTATGAATGTTCTGTATCCCCAGATGGATTTTAATAAATGTCTGAATAGTTGATAGAAGAAAAACTAGGGATGAAAATATCAAAGGAGACTCTAAAGAAGGAGATGGAAAGGACTATATGGGGACTAGAAATCTTGATGATGAAAGATGACAAGGAAAATGAAGGGTTGGCTCTAAATAAAAATATCTAGGATCAACATATCCATTGCATCATCTACATCTACATGAGACATCCTTTTACAGGATAACAGACTTTTCTTTCTAAACATTTTATAAAAACTTTACCCTTTCATTTATGGACATCCTAACCTACAGATTGGCAGTAAGAATGCATATGTCTCCTATTTGACCAATAATTGAAACTAATACTGTGAGAAGTAATAACATTTGCTCAACATCATACAAGTGGTAAATTTACTGGAAAGAACCTTGACCCTCTGGTTTCTAATATGCTGCTCAGTGCTTCTCTGCTTTACTAAGCTCATGTAAAGAGATATGGGAGGAAAAAAAAGATATGGGTTCCTACATACAGTGTAAAAGAACAGGATTTGGAGCCAGAAGACCTATACTCTAACCTTGCTTTACTAGTTTATGATATTGGACAAATCTTTTGTTTTCACAAAATGGAGCAGCTTATTGTTTTCTCCCATATTTATATAAGATTTAGATTTCCAGGAGATAATTGAAAACTCTTATTGCAGAATACATAGTAAAGCTATGATAAAAATGAGATGTTATTGGGCTGGGGATTTAGCTCATTTGTTTCGCCATCTGCCTTCCAAGCACAAGGTCCCAAGTTCAATCACTGGTACCAAAAAAAAACATGACGTTATTTTAAGTATATGGCTGAGCTCTTCAAAAAGTAAAGAAATCTTCAGTAGCCAAAAGCCAAAGGTAAACCCCAAAACCAGAGAGCCTGTTTGAGCCAATGTGGCTGCAGGTACTGTGGCAGATGTAGTACGGTCAGTCTTCGGAACTAAGAACCTGAGTTTTAATGTCCAAATAACAATGGTGGCTGAGTTTTTAAGCCTAACTTCTGTGGATTTATAGCCTCATGTGATTGAGACATACAGCTGAATGGAAACACTGACAGCAGAGGTGAAGGTCAGGTGGAGATGAACACAGAAGACTGGGGGATCCAAGAAGGGGTCACTTTTCCATCCTTCTCCTTAAAGTCACATCTGTCCTATATGTTAGTTCCTGAGAGCCCTACTCCCAGCTATGTGAGTCTGTGAGTCAGGAAAAAAATGACCTAGCTTTATAGAGACTTGAGTTTTTTCTTTAGGAAGTAGATTTCCTAGACACAGTTTCCCCAGCCTGAAAGAAAGATACTGGTTCCAAATGAAGTTTTGGATTGTTTTCTCTAATTCTGTGAAATATACTGTTGGGATTTCAATAGGGATTGCATTGAATCTGTATAGCAGTTTTGGAAGTATGGCCATTTTCACTATATTGGGTCTTCCTACCCAAGAACAAGGAAAGTCTTTCCATTTTCTTATATCCTGTTTGATCTCTTTTTTCAGAGTGTTGTAGTTCTCAAGGTGCGGGTCTTCTGCTTCCTTTGTTAGATTGATTCCTAGATATTTCATTCGGGGGGGATACTATTGTGAAAGGGATTGTTTCCCATTTCTCAATGAGTCTGTTATTTGTGTACAAGAAGGCAATTGATTTTTGAGTGTTTACCTTGTGTAAATAAGGATCAAAATGTATAATTGATATTGTGAAATAGGAAGAAAAGGTCTAAAGGAGTAGGGAAGTGGGAGGGGTAGGGGAAATGAAAGAAGGGAAAAGGAAAAATATGAGAGAAGGAAAAAATGGAAACAAAATCTTTGTAAATAGGGAGGGATGGAGGGGTTGAAGGGAGGGCAGGGAAATGGGGAAAAAATAAGAACCAAGATGCATCATGTAAAGGTACAAGATCCCAATGATGAATGTAACTGTATTGTATACCTAAAATGAACCAATAAACTTAATGGACAAAAATAAGGAAGATACTGAATGATGAAGATTCAGGTGACCAGGCTGATAGAGGGGTTGTTTTAGAGCAGGCAGAATTCTGGTGAATCCTCTGATCACATCACGTCATGTCATGTCACTTTGTTTAGCCATGAGAACAGATGGCTTAAAGGAACTATCTTAGAAGAACTATCTGACCATCATTGACAAAATTGATTTTTCCAAAACTTTGTGGAAAAGTCTTTCTTTTATGAAATGCTATTAATATTTTTTTTCTTAAATTCTTTTGTTAGTACATTTTAGGTATACAATCATTTACATTTATCTTTGGGTGTTTGTACCTGTACATGATGTATCTTGGTTCTTATTTTTTCCCCATTACCTGTGTGCCCTTCACCCCTAAACCCTTCCCTATTTACATACAAGGAAAAATTGTGAGAAATGAAATGCTATTAATATTTATAATAATGCATACCCTTAGAGTGGTCTTGGAAAAATATCAAGTGCAAAATTCTATTTTTCTGTGACCTTTCAAATGGATTGAGATACCTCTATCTTTTTGTCCTGAATTTATCAAAATTTCAGGATTCTGTAAACTTGTCCTTCTGAGAAATCTTCTCAAGGAAAATAAATCAAGGTTTTGTCAAGAGAGAGGGGGTGGTTTAAAGGGGGCGACTCATCTTAGAATAGGTTAAAAAGCAAAATACTCAAAGTGGAAGTATTAAAAACATAGAAGCCTCCAGGACCAGATGGTCAAAATTATGAATAAGCTTGGGGACAAAATTAAATAAACCCTCAGGAAAATATTTTGTCACCATTTTGGAAGCTTGGATGGGGACCCAGAACTGTTAAAAGACTTCCTGTGCCCCCTCCTTTCATTAAAAAGCTACAGTAATGAGAGTTAGATAAAAATCTGACCTACTTTCTAGGAAACTTTGTTGTTGTTGTAATGAAGAAAGGGGAAAAAAACCCATGATATCAAAGCTGTGGAGTGGGGAGATAAAATATTTGGATTTGCTATTAAGAAAATAGAACAATAGTACTGTCAATACCAATGATAGGATGACAAGTAACATTTATTGAGTGCTAAATGCACTACATGTGTTTTACTTCATCTAATGATTATATCTAATGATTACAAAACCCAGGTATATTGGTATTTTTCTGTTAAACAGACACTAAAATAAGTTAGGTTTCTTTCCTGATATTCCATAACTCTTGCAAAGTAGAGCCAAGACTTGAACCTAGATCACATCTTGCTCCATTGAATATGCTTCTAACAATATGCTGTACTAACTCATTTCTCTGACTGACCTTTGGAAAGTCATTTTCTCTCTCAGGCTTATTTTTTCTTACCTTCAAGTTTTCCAGCTAGACTTGGCCCATCTGTTAATAAGCAAGTATATAATTATTGGTTTAATGTTCATCTTTTTCTCTCAGATTCCAACTGCCACAAGGACAGAAGCTTTGCTGGAGTCGTCACATTTCCAGCACCAGCACAGAGTGTGTCTGGAGCATGGCAGATGCTTAGTAAACATTCACTGATAGAATAAATGAGCTGTATCAAATATCTTTATTTCACCTATAAATCCCAAGATCCAACCACTGAATAGTCAGTTGAACATTTTGCATTCTTCTCTCCTATTTCCAAAGGGATTTTCCCAGAGAGATGTAGGCTTTCCCAGAGAGATGTAGTTTCTCTGTGATTCTCCTCTTGTATCCCAAACTACGTTCTGTAGGACACTTTCTGTCCCAGATACAGAAATAAATATTGTCACATTTTGAAGTCTTTTTACACAACTTTTGCAATGGCATAGCCAATAAGAACTTTAGAAAGCATCCCCTCTCTGTCTAGCTCTGTCCAGCCTTACCCAACCACCTAATAAAGGGTTAAGGTTTAGTCCTCTCCTCTATTATTCCTTCTATAAACCTTAAGTACTCCTACATCTGGCCTTTCTGTCTTGGGACTACCAGTGGTTAGCTTTAGCATCATAAAATCCAGTCACTGCTCCCACCTGGTATTTGTAAGTTTCTTTGCCTGCATGTGATTTCTC